CCACACAACTTTTCCAGTTGTTTGAAGAGATGATTTTCAAAATCTCCTCCCTGGTCATGGTGGAGTTTTTCCGGGAAACCAAAACGCAAGAATGAAGTTGTTATGTAACTTTTCCGCCACTGTCTTAGCTGACTTATTTTGAGGGGCATAGGCCTGTGCGTAACGGGTGAAATGGTCCATTACAACCAAAATGTACTCATAACTGCCACTGCTTTTCTCAAGATGAACAAAGTCTAGGGATACCATCTGGAATGGAGCTGTTGTTGTTATGGGCTGTAACAGTGTTACACAACGACATTGATGTGAAATGTAAGATTCTTCATCTCACTGCATGTACGGCCAATAGAACCAAGCACGGGCAAGTTCAAGCACCCTATCTGCTCCTAAGTGTCCCATTTTCTTGTGAAGTTCTTCCTACACCAACCAATGGAGTTTCCTCGGTAAAACTATTTGATTATTTTCACCTCTTTTTCTCCGAAGTAATCCATATTTGTCCAATTCCTACTTGTTTCACTTGTGAAGGAGGTGCCGGTCTTACATGACTTTTCGATTCGATCCATTTGATCACCTTGCTAATTTCTGTGTCTTCTCTTTAGGCAAGTGCAATCTCTTCACAGGAAATGGTGTTCACGAAAATACTGTTAATGTGCTTCATATTTTCTTCTAACACATCCTGATTTATAGTGAAAGCTGTGATCCAGTTGATGTTACTTGCTTGCTGTTGCAAAATTGATGATTCTACGGCTTGAAGAGTATCCATCACAGTTTCTTTGGTCCACATATCTAAATAATTATCGACATTTGGCGACAACCTTGACAGCGCATCAGTGTTCACTTTACCAGGGCGGTACTTGATTGAAATTGAAATCTGTCAATTCTCTGAACCAACATAATTCGGTTGCATTTAGTTTTGTGGAGGACAAGATGTACGTGAGTGGGTTGTTATCAGTACAGACTGTGAATTCCGAGGCGTAATAGAAATATTTGAGAAAGTGGTCACAGATCGCCCTTTAGTGCAAGGAATTCCAATTTACCCGATTGATGGTGGTAATTTCTTTCAGCTGGTGTCAAGCTTCAAGAAGCATATGCAATAACTCTTGTCTCACCGTTTTGATGTTGGTACACAATGGCTCCCAGTCCAGGTAATTGTCCTTTCGATTTCAAATAAAAAGTAAATCAAGCCATCATAGCTACAAGTCATCCAAGAAGTCATCCAATCATAATTGATGATCTCATGGAATTAAAACCATTTCATCACATTGGCAATCATCATGATGAATGTTTTTTAAGATGCATCATCAGACAGACTAAGTGCTTTAGACACTAATGTATTTCATGACTGGTTAGCAAGACATAAGAAAAACCTTCTTAAACATGGACCAGTATATATTTTTTCAGAAGATGAACGAGAAGCAATCTGAATGTAATAAAATGATAATCATTATGATTGTGATAAAACACAAAACAGCAAATATTCAAATTATTTAATTGTTTAAATTATTTTTTTCAAAGATTAAATTATATTAGCTCAACATTGTTATTGATGAATGATCAAGTTCAAAACTAACTAATTGTAAAAAAAATATTTAGTTTGACAATTAGTTGCACATGCTGTTTTAACTGAAAGGGACTTTTGCACTACTTGTGCTTTTGGACTTTTTGCACTACTTGGACTTTGCCATTCTCCAACAACAACTGTCCCTGTAAAATGCTGATGTTGCTGAACTTCTTTGTTGGTTTTCATGTGGGTCAACATGAAGAAGACCATGATGGAATCAGGTGCATTTGTTCGCTGCACATCTCTCTTTCGATTTGCATTCTCGACTTACGTGACCTTGGAAACACAGTTTTATGTCTTTCGGGTTTTTCTGTCTTTTGAGTCCTTCCTTCGATGGAGCACTTCGCAAAAATGGGACAATCAACCACTCAATGGTCTTCGGAGCAGAGCACTTGAGGGTTCTTCTTGATTCCCTGTGGGTCGATTGAATTCCTCTTCTCTCGTCCGTTGGCTTCTCAAATTCCAACTCCTGGATGTCGCAAAAGTCAGGGTTGAATTTGGCCTTGACTTGGCCTCGTAAGAATAAAAAATATTGAAGGATATAAAAGGTGATATACAAATTGTCTTCAACATCGAACATTGTATACTTATCCCCTTGTATAAAGTATACTTCAATTTTAGGGATAATATCCATGTTAATGAGATATGGGAAGTGCATGTTTTAAGGCAAAAGATCCTTTACTGACATTTAAATGCAATTGTGTAGTGGTTGATCATATGCCTAATGTTGAAATAGGTACATGCATAAAAATGGATAAAAAAATATAGAATTAATTTAATTTATAAAAAGACGTAAAATGTATTAAAAAATATTTTGATATTCCTGATGAAGTAAGTGTCTTGAACAGAAGACAAAGACCTTCTGAGAAATCAATGGCTGTTAGCAAAAGTCACCAAAACCTACCCTAGTGATTATGGTTTGGTTTGAAAAGTCGAGATTCAGAAAGCAACAAGCAATCTGGACAAGAGCGGAAAAAAGGAAGAATGACTCGAGTTTTTTTGAATGCTCAATTCACAAGTTGACAATGTTATTAGAAATGGTAGATTAAGTAGAGACTGAAACGGACATCCCCGCCAAGGAGCATTACACTTTACTGAGTTGACAGTTCCATATCATTATTAGAAAATATAGGTAATTAATATTTAATATTTAGAAAAGTACTAGGTGGACATTTTAGGGAACCATGTTACAGCCGCCACTTCCGGTTTTATTAATAGTTGATGCTCACTCGAAGTGGTTGGGTGACCACAGAACATGACAAACGTCTAGAGCAAGTTCTTGAGCTTCTGCACATTTAACACTTAATAAATCTAAGTTTGAATTTAATAGGCCTAGTTTCATCTATTTTGGCTAACTTTTCCAGGGGTGGTGTTTTGCCTAAAAATGTAGAAACAATCAGAAATGCCAAAGCTCCCAAATCAGCAAAGGAAGTTAGAAGTTTTCTTGGATTAGTGAAAATTGCACTGGATGGAAGAATGTCTGAAGTCCCTGAGTGAGATACAACGAGCATTGTCTAGTAATACGAAGTTAGCGTATTTTCAGCCATAATTGGAAACTGAGTTACAGGCGGACGCAAGTCCCACAGGGATTGGTGCAATCTTAACACAGAAAGATTGTTCAAAAAAAGCTGATCCTCGAGTCATATGTTATTCTAGTCGAGCTCTCTCTAAAGTGGAACAACAATACTCACCAGGGGCGGATCTAAGATTTTTTACAGTTAGTCAAAATTATGCGAAGGGAAAACAGGGAGGTGGTCAATTGCCCCCCTTCCCAGGAATAATGAGATTTCAAAAATTCACTTAACTTATTGAAATTATTAAAAAAAACAATAAAACATTTAGTCCAGCTGTTAACGACCACAATTGTTCACTTTGATGATAAAAGCATGAAACTTTGCCACATTACTAACATCCCTAGTACTAACATTTTTGGATATGGAGCCAGCCCAAATTCACTTATGCTGACGAGTGATGCGCATGTCATAAAATACTCGACAGGGAAACGAGGCTGCTTTAATAACCCTAGTTTTTAATAACCCTAGTTAATAACTCTAGATTGAGATCTCTGCATTATTTGCCAAAAAAATTCCGTTGAAAAATTACAATGTCCTGCAAACTCAAAGCGTAAAGATGCTGGTGTTGGCTACACTTCATTTGTCAACAATCTCAAAGAATTCCAGAAGCTAGAAATTACCCCTGTATGCTTAAATATGGAATGTCTCGATGAAGGTCTTGGAATAGAGCAGACTCTGTTGAACAAAAAAGCTTCCTGGCACAAGTCTTGTCGAGACCTTTTCAGCAGTACCAAGTGAGAGCGTGCCAAGAAAAGAAAATTATCGGCAATAGCAGATGAAAAGGGAAGAGAAGATTGTGAACAAATCATAGATGTAAGTACACATAGTTCCAGCCCAATAAAGGCCAGGCGATCTAGTGGTGCTTCAAGTTGTCTGCCAGAAAACCACTGTTTCTTTTGCAAATCTGCAGATAGCCCAACAAATCTTCATTCTGCTTCCACACTCGAAGTCGACCGAAAGGTCAGAGAATGTGCTCATTTGTTGAATGAAGGGAAACTTATTTCGAAGATATCAATTGGTGATTTGATCGCAATTGAAGCGAAGTACCATGCAAAGTGCTTAGTCAGTCTTTATAATTGAGCGAAGCAATTCAAAGCGCCAACCACTAATCCTGTCCCTGCGAGTTCGCCAACTGGTTTAGATGAACTGGCTTTTACAGAGTTGATTGCCTACATCGACGAACAACTTGAATATGAAGAGCTTCCAGTACTCAAGCTTTCTGATATCGTAAAATTTTTCTCATCAAAACAGCAGGAATTTGGAATTGATTCTGGAAAGGTTAATGCTACTAGACTGAAAGAAAGAGTACTCTCAGCTTTTCCTGACCTGACAGCACATAACCAAGGACGAGAAGTGCTACTGGCATTTAAACATGAAATCGGGGGAGTGTTAGAGCAAGCCAAGAATGATTCAGAAGCATGTCATCTGGCTAAAGCTGCAAATATTATAAGAAGAGACATTCTACAAATACATAACTTTTTTGACGGTACATTTGCCCCAGATTGTCAAAACGATGCCATCCCGCCTTCCCTTAAAACTTTGATAGGCATGATTATCAAAGGTCCAACTACCAAGACAGACGCGTTGCCTGTGGGCAGTCAGGCATGTCTGACAATTGCTCAGCTTATTATATTCAACAGCATCGCTCTGTAAAGAAGTAAACGTATTTGAGTCACTTTAAGTTAGGACCAGTCCCAAAACCGTGAGAACACATGCTTTTACGAGAGAACGATACGAAGAAGGAATATACGACATTTAGTTTATATTTATGTTATTTTTGTTATATTTTTCAAATTTAAATTGAACGAAGTGTATATTTACGATAAATACAACATGGCGCCCAACGTGGGGCAATCTTTAATCGAAAAATGAGCGAAACGAAAGAGAATTTGACACGAATACGAGCCGTACGCGGGGGAAATCGAGGAGTTATCACAAAATTAATAAACGAAGCGGAAGGACTTTTAAAGGAAGAAATCTTAGAACGAGGACGATTGAACACGATAACCAGTCTACTAGAAGAAAAACTGAAATACGTAAAGGATTTGGATCAAAAAATAATCGAAATTTGTGAAGTTGCAGACATAGCAGCTGAAATCGACGAGGCAGAAGAGTTAATATCGAGAGTTTTAGACACTCAGCGACATATATTGGAGAAAATACGCGAAGTCGAAGAAGTTCAAAGGGTACAGGAAATACAAAGTAAGAGTCCGTCTAATGTGCATACGAATACTGCGAACGAGGAGCCAGTACAACAACAACAACACAGTGAATCTGTCCTGGACAGTTCAGCTAGTACTAGCAACAATAACAACGCAAGTGATGTTCAAGCGTCTGTGTCCATCAGTCCACCCGAGACAGCTGAATCTACAGGTACGGTGACTAATCAACAAAATTCTATTAACATTAACAATAATGTACCAGTGTTAACCCAGAACCGATCGAAACTACCCAAGCTTGTATTACCCAAATTTCGTGGTGATGTTACTCAGTGGAGAACCTTTTGGGATAGTTTTAACAGTGCGATAAATACTAACAATTATTTGTCGAAGATAGACAAGTTTAATCATTTAAACTCATTATTGGAGGGACAGGCTTTACGGGCCATTCAAGGACTAACTCTGTCTGAGAGCAATTATCAGGCAGCTATCGATATACTACATCAGCGTTTTGGTAAAACCCAGCACATTATTTCTACGCATATGGATGAGCTCCTCAAAATCCCAGCATGTACATCAGATAAGACCACACAATTACGATTTGTTTATGATAAGATCAGCGTCAATGTCCGAGGGCTAGAGGCCCTGGGAGTCGATTCCAGTCAATATGGCAGCCTATTGATACCAGTTGTCATGTCGAAATTACCACAAGACGTCCGACTTCAAATTGCAAGAAATACAGCACAAGATGTGTGGGAAATGTCAGAACTGTTAAGTGTTATTCTAAAGGAAGTCGAAGCTAGAGAGATAAGTGATGGAATTAAAGTAACTGCTGAGAAGGGCAAGATTCCACCAACTAAGCCACCACCCCATGGTTCTGCTGCAGCGCTGTTGGCTAATGGTCAAACCTTTGGCAATAAAATTCAATGTGTATATTGTTCTGGTAATCATTTTTCTGCCTCTTGCACCCAGACAAGTGAAGTACAGGCTCGACTAGAAATCCTAAAACGAGATCGACGATGTTTTGTTTGCCTCAAAAGGGGACATCGAAGTAATCAGTGTTCTAATCAAAGGGGTTGTAGACGATGTAATGGTAGACATCATCAGTCTATCTGCAATCAACAAATTACGAAAACGAAACCTAATGTGGAAGAACAAGCAGCCCCAACAAATGGAAATGAAGGTGTTCATGGTACCCAAACCTTGCAACAAATCCAAAATCGAACTGAAAATCCAAACCCTAATACCCACACTGTTCATGTACAGAGCACCACTGCTACAACTATTGCGAAGGGACATGTTATGTTACAAACTGCGACTGCTGTAGCAACCAATGTAGACGGATCTAAATCATCGAAGGTGAAAATTTTATTCGACAGTGGAAGTCAACGCTCCTACATCACTGAGGGCTTGAAGTCAAGACTAAACCTAGAGCCGAGGAAGACCGAAACGCTTCACCTCAACACCTTTGGCGAGCGAAGTTATCGAAAGCAGAAATGTGAAGTATCACCATTGGTACTCCGAAGCAACAAAAACGAAGATGTTATTATTTCAGCACTTAGCTTTCCTGTCATTTGTTCGCCGTTAATTACGAAGATTGAAGTAGATCAGTATCCCCATTTACAAGGGTTGCAACTGGCGGACAGTTCCGATTCAAACGATTCCATCGACGTCCTGATTGGTTCCGACCATTACTGGGACCTAGTAGAAGGTGATACAGTCCGAGGAGAATTTGGTCCAGTAGCAATTGATAGCAAGTTTGGTTGGCTTCTATCTGGCCCAACCAACAATGACTCATTCAATGAAATATGTACAACCAATTTGGTAATATTGGGAAGTAGCGATAACCAGTCAGAGACCACGCAAGATCCGCTTGTTGATATGTTAAGGAAATTTTGGGAGACGGAATCGATTGGCATCAAAGGTGATCCAGAGCCTAAAGAATTTATCGAGTCCTTCAACGAGAGTGTACATTTCAACGGAAAACGATACCAAGTCGAGTTACCATGGAAACAAGATTGCCCATCAATACCGAGTGATTATCAGTTGTGTGAAAATCGCCTCAGATCTCTTCATCGCAAGATGTTACAGCAACCAGAGTTATTACAAGAATACGACCAAATTATCCAACAGCAGATACAAGATGGTATTGTAGAGAAGGTTCCAGACGAAGAAATTGAAATTACTAATGATGAATCTGTTAATTATTTACCGCATCATGGAGTTATACGACGAGATCGTGAAACAACAAAGCTTCGAATTGTCTACGATGGATCAGCCAAGCCACCAGATCGTGAGTATTCATTGAACGATTGTCTGGAGACAGGCCCTAACTTTATCCCTCAGTTGTTTGACACACTGGTCAAATTTAGATGGCATAGAATTGGCCTAACTGCAGATATAGAGAAAGCCTTTCTCATGGTGGCAATTAACGATCTTGATAAAGACATGTTACGTTTTCTATGGCTAAAGGAACCAAACAATCTGAGTTCAGAACTTGTACAGTTGCGATTTACCCGCCTGGTATTTGGCCTCCGACCATCCCCAGCAATTTTGAGCTCAACGATCCGACATCACTTGGAAACGCAAAAAGACGTCGACCCTCAATTGATCGAACTGCTAAAGAAATCCCTCTATGTTGACGATTTCGTATCAGGTGCAGACAACGAGAAGGAAGCTTCGGAAGTATCATCGAATGCGAAGTTAATTATGCGAAAGGGAGCATTTAACTTACGAAAGTGGAACACTAACTCGAGTAACCTTAAGAAGACATTTGCAAATCAAAGTTCTCCGAATGCAACTAATGTGAAAGGCGTCACAGAAGAAGACGAGTCTTATGCAAAGACTGTCACTGCAACAACAATTAAACCGAATGACAACACAACTAAGGTGCTAGGTTCCCTTTAGAACACAAAGTCAGATACCCTTGAATTCAATTTTTCCGATCTTGTCAACGAAGCAAAATCACTTCCTCCAACTAAACGATCGTTGTTAAAGATATCAGCAAAGATCTTTGACCCGCTTGGCTTACTAAGCCCTTTTACTATACAATGGAAAGTGCTGTTCCAGTTGTTGTGTAACGAAAACATCGAATGGGATGATGAATTAATCGGCGAACATTTGAATAAATGGAACTTACTAATATTAGATCTTCAATCTCTGAGCAATGTGTGTGTACCAAGATGTTACTTTGAAATAGATGGCAAGGTTCTTTCGATTCAAGTTCATTGTTTTAGCGACGCGTCAGAGAAAGCATATGCAGCAGCAATATATCTTCGTTCGAAATACGAAAGTGGTCTTGTAGATGTCAATTTGATCGCAGCGAAGACCAGAGTCGCACCATTAAAAAGGCAAACTATACCTAGATTGGAATTACTCGGAGCGAACATTCTTGCAAGACTCGCCAATAACATTCAGAATGCCTTAGAATTACCTCAAGATGTCGAAATTTATTACTGGGTTGACTCGAAAACAGTGTTGTATTGGATAAAGAACGCCAAGCCGTGGAAGCAATATGTGCTTACAAGAGTGAAAGAAATTCGTGAATGCACCGCTCAAGATTCGTGGAGACATTGCCCAGGCTTAGAGAACCCTGCAGATCTTCCGTCACGAGGAATGAATGCCAACAAATTAGTAAACGAGAAACGATGGTGGGAGGGCCCCGAATTTCTGTACAAATCCGAAACAGAATGGCCGAAAAAGGTCGAGAACAAAGAAAACGAGGCCTCCATGAATGAAGTCGTAAAGAATCCTACTACGGTAACCCATACGTTGACTAACCTTTCAACCGAATCCGTCCGGTTATTTTCTCATGCCAACATCGGAGCAATAATGGATTGCAACGAATTCCACTCGAAGACGAAGTTGTTAAGAGTTACAACAATGGTTCTGCGAGCTGTAAGGAAGATGAAGCGTATCGAAGTGGCGAATGAAAGTGAACAATTAAACGCTGAAAATCTGAAAGAAGCGGAAATGTTATGGTTGAAAAGCATCCAGTTATCAGAATTCTCTGAAGAAATTCGACGTCTGAATTCAAGTCACAAGAATCCGAATCAACTAATCAACCAATTGAATCTCTACCTTGATGTGGAAAAGATCATTCGATGTAAGGGAAGACTTGAATACTCAACGATTTCAACCGAAGCCAAAGAACCAATCCTCCTACCGTCTAGACACCACTTTACGAAGCTTATAATCGAAGAGGAGCACAAACGAGTTCACCACAACGGTATCAAGTCAACTCTCAATGGCGTACGAGAAAGTTACTGGATATTACGAGGAAGAGAAACAGTCAAGCGTGTTTTGAAAGGGTGTGTGATATGTAAGAAGATTGAAGGTAAGGCGTTCCAGACTCCGAGAGAGCCATCATTACCTAGTTGTCGTGTAAGCGATGAGCCGCCATTTACAAACATTGGCGTTGATTTTGCGGGACCGTTGTTAGTAAAGGAAGGTGATAAAACTGTGAAATCGTACATTTGTTTGTTCACATGTGCGTCTACGAGGGCAGTACACTTAGAGTTATTGAAAGATTTATCCACGAACATGTTTTTGACGGCTTTTCGACGTTTCATCAGCCGAAGAGGAATGCCAAGAAAAATTCTAACCGACAATGCGAAAACTTTTAAAGCTGCTGCCAAGGAAGTAACCAAGATATATCATTCAAACCATGTCAAACGTTATCTCGCGGATAACGGTATTTCGTGGGAATTTATCACGGAAAAGGCCCCCTGGCATGGGGGATTTTGGGAACGTTTAATCAAGAGCATCAAACGCTGTTTAAAGAAGCAAATCGGACGAACTTCGTCGACTTTCGAAGAACTTCGAACTATCCTTGTAGAAATCGAAGCAACCTTAAACAATCGTCCATTAACATACATATATGATGATGAACAAGGTGTCTCTTACCCTCTTACGCCAGCGAGTTTGATTTATGGACGTCGAATCTCAACAGCTCCTAACGACAGCCAGCACGAGATAATGAGTACAAACAAGTCACTGACGAGACGTGCCAAGTACCAAGCTAGAGTTCTTAAGAATTTTTCAGATCAATGGAGAAAAGAATATTTGCTAAGCATCCGAGAATCATCAAGAGCACAGAACAGTGGGTCTAATGTTATAAGTGTAGGCGATGTAGTCACCCTCAAGAACGATAGTACATCTCGTATATATTGGAGGTTAGCCAAAGTAGAAAATCTTCTTCGAAGTAAAGATGGAGTTATTCGTTCGGCAGAAGTCAGAGTTTTAAGTAATGACAATAAGAAAACTGTGGTCTTACGAAGGCCTATTCAGCATCTGATTCCTCTAGAAGTCCAAGGTACAAGCAAAGTCCAAAGTAGCGATGAAGTCCAAGATGCGAGCGAAGTCCAAGTTACGAGCGAAAGTCAAATTATCGACGAAATTAAAAATTCGAGCGAAGCTCAAGGTACAAGCAAAGTCCAAACTATGGATGAAGTTCAAGATACGAACGAAATTAAGAGACAAAGTGACACTCGGCCAAGACGTAAAGCAGCTGTTAACGCAGAACTAATTCGAAGGACTTATCAATGGAGATAAGTACTTTATGTAACGCAGTACAGTGTAAAATTTAGTTTAAGTTTAGTATAAACGCATGTTAATATGTTATATTGTTATGTTTTGCTCACCCATGGTGATCAACCTGGGGACTGTAAAGAAGTAAACGTATTTGAGTCACTTTAAGTTAGGACCAGTCCCAAAACCGTGAGAACACATGCTTTTACGAGAGAACAATACGAAGAAGGAATATACGACATTTAGTTTATATTTATGTTATTTTTGTTATATTTTTCAAATTTAAATTGAACGAAGTGTATATTTACGATAAATACAACACGCTCGAAGTGGAAATGAGTCGACTGAAAAATCTCGTCATATGAGATCTAGGGAAACCCCACTACCAATTTATACCGCACTAAAAATTCATGGAGCAACGAGGGATAAATCTCATGTAGATTTATTTTACAAGTTTGGGATGTCTATTTCATACAATCGGCTACTTTATGTATCTACTGAAATTACTAATAGTGTTATAAAACGGTACGAAGGGGAAGGAGTTGTATGCCCGTCCAAACTTAAAGAGGAACTGTTCACTACTGCAGCAGTTGATAACATCGACCACAATCCCAAGCTCAACGAGTTTGCATGATTCATTTCATGGCACCGCAATTTCATTGGTCCAACACCGAACTATGGAAGAACCAGGAATTGATAGACCCATTGACATCATTGACCCAACAAAAAGTTCCGTGTCGAAAAAGATAGCCCAAATACCATCAAGTTACAGTCAAGTAACACCAATGTACCTACGCCCCAGTGACTTTTACGCACCGGAAACTAAGGGACAGCTGACGGTAGATCCTCAAGTGATGCCAAATAGTAGTGAACCCTATGCTGAACAAGATTGGCTGGATAATACTCTGCAACTTCTCTCTAAAGAAAAACTCTAGAAAGATGATTTCTTATCATGGCGACATATCGCGCTTCAAAATCCATGTTGTCGAGTCACGAGCCAGCTATCATATCACTGTTACCGATGTTTATAGAGAACGCCCACTCCATCGCTATGATAGCACATTCCTTGAAAGTGATCAAAGCAGCTGTAAATCAGGTCAATCCTACACAAATCCCAGTTGTTGCAATGGATCAGCCACTGTTTGCTCTCGCCAAACAAATTCAGTGGACGTTCAATGAAATATTCAATGAAGATCAATTTGTCATCATGCTTGGGGGACTTCACATAGAAATGCCGGCCTTCAAGATGCTTGGAAAGTGGTTGAGTGGTAGCGGATGGGCAGAGGCTCTCTGCAATACAGGTGTGGCTACACAAGGCGTAGCTAATTCATTCCTTGCAGCAAGTCATCTAACTCGAACGCGACGAGCATATCAAGTTACAGCAGCTGGTCTACACATGCTCATGGTGAAAGGATACGATGAATACACTCTTAATGGCGAAGAAAATGATCAGCTCAAATCTTTTCATGAATGGAGAGAAGAGATGTCGGAGAAATGTTCCCAGTTTTTGTATTGGTCTGGAGTATTGGAGTTGCAGCTTTGTGTTTTTCAGCTTGTGAGAGCGTTTAGAGAAGCCAACTTTACTATGTACGTCAACGCCATCAAACAGATTTTACCATGGATGTTTGCAATGGACCATCCCAACAACGCCAGATGGCTATCAGTCTATTATCGAGATATGTGCGAGCTTGCAGTCCAACAACCAGAGGTCCACACACAATTCACAAAAGGTTTTTTTGTAGTTCATACGAAGAGGAAATCGTTTTCTTCCATAGCGCTGGACCACGCACACGAACAAGTTAATGCCATAGTGAAAGGTGATGGAGGTGCTGTTGGACTCACAGAAAACCCTGCAGCCCTCAGAAGATGGATGGTCGCAGGACAAGAGGTAACAAGAATGGTGGAGCAGTTTGAATGCAACGTCTATAATTCTGACTCACACAACCACCATGAGCAGACACCAGGCGTTCAGAGCGTGTTCGCCAAAGATGTTTTGAATGTGATCTGTTCCTTTGAAGAATTAGGAAATCCATTTATGGAACAGGGCAAGGAGCTCATAGCAATTCACACAAAGAACATCATGAGTAACGATGTTGTCAACACCGTGCGCAATGCGAAAAAGCTTGGAACGGAGCAGATCCAAACCTTCATAAAAGAGCGGTTTACCGACCGGAGTACGCCAATTACAGAGCCTTTAAAGAAAAATAAACTGCCCACATTCAGCACTCCAAACACTAAGGTCATGTCCAAAAATAAAGCCAAAGTAGCGGTCTTGAAGGAGGACTGTGCTCTGTTTTCTAGGCTTTACATAGCTTGCCAAAGTGAGATGGAAATCTGCAGGATTTTCTCAAGTTCAAAAATCAGCCGTGGCCTCCATCACTCTCTCAAGTGGGCAATCTCAGAGGGGGGCAGAAGGCAGATCTGGTGAAGTGTTTACACGACACTACAATACAGACCGTGGAACAACCAGCAGTGGATGCAATCATTGTTGACAGAGCCGTCATTGTCCAGATGTTAAAACCACAAATGGCACAAACATTTGAGGAGTACTTCATCACTGTGTTCGCCCCTTATATCATGAGACAACTTGTTGCAGTGAATAGAGTCGATCTAGTGTTGGATGTGTATCGAGAAGACACATTGAAGAGATCTGTTCGGGAAAAGAGAGGCAGTGGACAGCGGCGGAAAGTTCTTCCTGGAACGCGAATCCCCTCAGACTGGAAAGGATTTATGCGTGTTGATGACAACAAAGATGAACTTTTCAAGCTTCTTGCTAACATGGTAATGATAATAGTAATGGTAATATATTAAATATAGTGCTACATGTTATGCAGAAATGAATGTTTAATATTTCAAAATCATCATCATATTAACCATTTTAGGTGGTTTCACTGACGATCCCTGATGGCAAGGAGATCTACACCACACATGGCGAACATGTCCTGTCTTCTGCCAACCGAGTCGAAATGAATACGCTTGAACCCTGCTCCCACGAAGAGGCAGACACTCGCTTAATGGTACATGCCTTGGATGCTACCTTGTGCGGCCATCATAGAATACAGATCAGAAGCAATGATACCGATGTAGTTGTGTTAGCAATTTCAGTAGCTAGCAGTATTTCCATTGATGAGCTGTGGATCGCGTACGGCATCGGAAAGCATCCACGCTACATTCCTGCACATTCCATAGCCGCGTCGCTAGGTTGAGAGAAAGCGTCAGCACTACCGATGTTTCACTCCATAACTGGATGTGACACAGTGTCATTTTTTTGTGGACGAGGAAAGAAGACCGCATGGGATGTATGGAATGTTTTTCCCGAACTGACACTGGTACTCGAAGTGCTGGCAGCATCACCTGAAGACATAAACAAAGAGTGCATGGCAACAATAGAGATGTTTGTGGTTCTGCTCTACGATCGAACAAGCAGTCTTAAAAGTGTAAACGAAGTGAGAAGAGTTATTCTCAAAGAAGTCAAGAAGTCTGGATAGTATTCCACCCACACGAGCAGCGCTCTTACAACACACAAAGAGAGCAGTATTTCAAGGTGGATACGTATGGTCTCAGACTCTTGTGAAGAGTCCAGTATTACCATCTCCTGCTGACTGGGGGTGGCAGCGTGACGGCAGTTCCTGGGTGCCATACTGGACGACACTTCCACAAGCGAAGGATACATGCTACGAACTTATTCGATGCGGTTGTAAAACCGCATGTAGAGGACGTTGCAAGTGTGTGAAAGCCAATTTGACACCCAAAGGTTTGTGTAATTGTGGCGGCAATTGTAAATAGAAATTGAGAGCAAATATAGTCTTGGAATGGCTAAAAAGGCGAGCCAAAAGCACACTTCTATTTTCTATGAGAACTATTAGGGTTAGAAAAAGAGCTAAAGTTCTGAGCATTCATATTACCGAGTTTTATGAATGGTTTTTTGGCTGCTCTTTTAGCCATATCTTGAATATTGTACAGTGGATATCAAACTTGGATATCAAACGTAGATATCAGTTGTTGTAATTGGCATTAAAGTCAATCGGACATGAACGAATTGCTGACGAGAGACCATAAGAAAATATGTGACGTATAAGTATGCTGTATTATTTTCATGTTGTATTATTTTCATTTGACAAATTTGCTTCTTTTTACCAATTTGCCTCTCTTCCATTTGGAAAATTTCAGCGCATGCGCAGTGTTAAGCAATATAGTAACTCGTAGTTATTTTTCCCATTGTCTTATATTTTTACTTCGGAATGTTCCTAAAATATTTAAAGCAAAAAATTAAAACAACGCATTTTCAAGCTTGATACAGATATCCCAGGCATCCACTACGTGTATTTCTTTAATTTCCAGGAAATAGGTCACGTGACAATACTTTACATTCAGTCAGAGTGAAGAACAGGCTGATGTATTATTATGAGAAAAATTTACGAAAAAAAATCTTTAAAGAAATGGTTCAAACTAGGGTTATTAAAGCAGCCTCGTTTCCATGTTGGGTTTTCTATGACATGCGCATTACTCGTCAGCATAAGTGAATTTGGGCTGGCTCCATATCCAAAAAGGTTAGTACTATGCATTAACATAGTGTGGCAAAGTTTCATGCTTTTATCAATAAAGTGAACAATTCAGCATTTTTTTGGTCGTTAACAGCTGGACTTATTAGTTTGAATTCTTTTGAGCTATACTCTAAGGTTGAGACAATTAATACTTGGGGAGGAACATAGTATAGTTAATTAAGTAATGTATAATCTCTTAATGAATAAATTAGTTATGCATGATTTAGAAAACTATAAATACTAGCTGTAAGACACTTAAAATATGTATGAAATATCAGACAATATGGAGATGGTACAAGTTATTTGGTCAGGTTGAAAGCAAGCTACAGTGGCTAAATCATCAACAGAAGCTGAATATGTTGCCTTGAGCATGGTGGTACAGGAAGCAATATGGTTAAATTGTTGGATGGATGGCATCAATTTGTATAAGATGAACAAACCGATTAAGATTTTTTAAGATAAACAAAGAGCCTTGGAACT